CTGTAAAGTGCAAACAGGGACATATTTGCCAATTCTTAGAACTTGCTAAAATGGCATTTCCTTGTTATATTTAAATGTCAGTGTCCCATGCTGACTGACTAAAACATACTGGCATGTGCGTCACAATGTATGATTATGGATTGTATAACAAGGTTAAACTAACATGTCATGCAGAAAAGTTGTACTTACTCTTTTGCTTTGCCTTTTTCACTTTCCTAGGATGCAAAAAAAAAAGCATTATGAGGGACAAGAGGATATAACACATGTTCACTTTATGCTTCCTCCATTTAATATACATCGTCGCGCCAACATTCATTCTACTTACATAATGTGTATTACAATACATTGTTTCATTTAGCAGACGCTTTTATCCAAAGCTGAATACAATAAAGTATATATACGTTTATAATATTTGGAATTAGGAGAGGTAGGGACAAGGTGGACACTTACAGATCAACATTTTTCTGCTGCACAGCAGCAATCTTCTTGCTTGGTGCTAAACCCCTCATCTTTCCCTCAACATAATGGTCCCTGGGGAAGGAAAACAAGCAAGTTAAAAAACAAACAAACCTTAGAGTACCTATTTATTTAAAAATGTAGTACATCAAGCATGCATTATTTTACGCTTTGTTAATGTTGAAGCTATTTGGGGACAAATTACACAAATATTTAACATTGTGGACTTTTGTTCGACATCGTTAGTTTCACACAGTAACAGAGGCCTTACAAAATGATTCTTATCCTCTCTAAACTTACTGATTAGCCTTTTGAAGCTCTTTTTGTTTCGCAAGGTTGCTGTCCACATACTTGAGAACTCTGCTTTCAGGAACCCATTCATCCCAGCTGTCAATGAAAAATACCATTTACACTTTAAAATTCACAGTGAAAAAGTACTCGTGGATTTCATTCACAGAAAGTTGTCTGTAGTAAACAAGAAAATCAAATTGTATCCAAACCAAGAGGCTCACTTTTTGTTCCATCCGCTGTAATGAATAAAGTATTTGATCAGTTTATCCTTTATGTTGATTTTTACACACTGTAAAAGAAGAGAACACACACAGGTCTGCATAAGTCGTTGGCTCACATTTGTTTTGCAGTTAACTATCAACTAATAACATATATACAACGTTAGTACAGACACAAACCTTAGCTTCATAAAGCAATGGCCCATGAAAGCACAGGACTCTTTCACCTGCGACGAGAGAATAACAAAGAGAAGATTGAGAGGGAAAATAATACCAACATACCAAAATATGTCAAAATGTAAAAAGTCTTGCGAGAACGATGACGGTCCGTTGATAGATTTTGAATTGATATAATGTGTACTGACATGGTTTCAGCGGCTCTTTGTGTCAGTGGCTGTTTAATAAACAACGGTTTACCTAATACATGGGAGGAATAACAAGCTAGCTAGCCGTTAGCCTAGCGTACACTTCTGTTTTATGCATTATGCTCAATTTTAAGGTGACGACGTTTAATTCATTTGAAACATGGGTATGTTTTGAAATAACGAACTACATATACAATCAATAACAAAGGCTCTGTGGCTCTGTCCCCCTCCCTGAAGACCACTATTGTCTAGCTAGCAGCATCAACAACAACAACAAACCCGCCCCCTTCAGGCGCTAACCGCCGCGTTGTTTCTCGGTACAAACCTTCTTGAAATTTAGGTTTAGGGTCCTGTTTTGGCGCCATTCACAGACTCAACGGGTCGGATCTCTGAATGATCAAACTCGAGCATTGCCAGAGTCCATTTCTTCCAGGCTCAAACACCTCCGACATTGGTGCCAAAAGCGAAGAAGAAGCTGAGGAGAGCCCGCCTGCTGCTGCTGGTCACCTGACCACCATGGACACTGTGCTGCGTTCAAGGGGCTCCCGCTGAAACTCGGAGAAACGATTAATGATGTGGTAGAAGTACTCCGATTATTTACTTAAATTAACTTAATATACTGCAGTGTAAAAATACTCTGTTAAAGTTAAAGTCCTTAATTCCAAATGTTACTTAAGCAAAGTATGTAAGTATTAGAATCAAAATATACCAAAGTACCTTTTTGCAGAATGGCCCATTTAAGCACCATACATTTGTAATAATTGTATTTTAATTATTGATGAATTTATGTATTTATCACTTTAATGTTGCACTTGGTTAATGTGGTGTTTATTTGGATTACATTGTATACTTTAAATGGGTAGATTAACCTAAAATATATATTTCAAGACACATTAACATTTATGTAAAGACTGTGAGGGAGCTAGACCCATAGGGAACATTGGGAATTGGGAACAGCCATGTATTGGCATTTTCTCTGTCTATTTCATTAGCACTTTATGCTGATAATGAATAAGGCCAGTTTCAATGTTCAGGTCAGTGACACACGTCCTCACTGTTATTCAGTCATTCATAACTTCTTATAGGCCTATCACTTGCAGATCAGATGTGTTGCATTTGAGTCGTGCAGAATCACATTTAGTTTGTGAGAATACATTTTTTATTATGTCACATCGTGGATATGTTTATTTACAACACTCATATCACATTTTCATGTATTCTATGCCTAAAATATGTATTTTGCCCCGCTAAAGTCAATAACTTAATGCTATATTTTTTTCTCCTTTGCTTTAGCATATGTTGCAACCATGATTGTCTTAAAAACACACTTATCGAACACTAGTTACATTACTTGCAAATATATTCACAGATGGAGCCACATGTTGTTTGATCAGTTATGACGCAAGCACACTATACTCATATAATAATAATTATGAACAATTACGCACGTAGTCACTTAGACTTTACACTAGAGAAACAACACTGCTAATAGTTATCTAACAAACAATGCTAAAGTGGACATCAGCGTATTTTCTTACACAGCAATTCCTATGCGTAAAGCAGATACAGCGGTTTCTCCACATACACGAGCCACATTACGCAAGGCTATAAGGACAAGAAGCGCTGATGAAAAGGACATTTTACATTAAGCAGGATGGAATAAATATATTGACATGATGCTGCTTGTCTCTAATTGTGCTTTCTGACAGGTCTTCTCTCTCACTCCAAGCCTTTTTAGCTGTGCACACTCGGTGCGTCTTGGGTACTGTTTCCAACACTTTAAATGAATCATTCTCAATGCTCCACAACATCAGCCTCTGTGTATCAAACTTCTCAGTTTGTTCCTAAACTCCTTCCTCATGAGGCAGTAAATAACGGGGTTGAGGCAGCTGTTGGTGTGAGCCAGACACACGGTCAGAGGGAACACATATGTGTGCACTATGTAGTACGCCTTGTCCCAGTTTGCCGCGTTCAGTTTGACCAGAACACTCCACAGGGTGATGGCATGATTGGGCATCCAGCACAGGAAGAAAGACAAGACGACGATGGTGATGGATTTAGTAACTTGGGATCTCCGTTTGGGGTTGCTTGTTTTCATACTCCGGTTGCGGATGAAACGCAGGAGCATGATGTAGCTGATGGACACGATGGACATGGGCAAAACAAACCCCACAACTATTTTCTGTATGTGGTACACTGCTAGCCAGTACTGTCCACCAGGAAACTTCAACAAACAGAGTTTTTCTCCTGTGACGTTGCTGACAGTTGAGAAAATAGACGTTGGAGCAGTAGCCACAGTCGCCAGTGTCCAAATAAATACACAGGTCCATTTGGCTGAACAGGACTTGCGCGGGGTGCTGTTCTTCAGAGCCGAGGCGACAGACCAGTAGCGGGTCACACTCATGGCAGTGAGGAAGAACACGCTGGCGTACATGTTCATCACGGTGACCGAGAGGATGATTTTGCACATGGCGTCTCCAAACGGCCAGCTGAAGTCCAGCACGGTGTCCACGGCCCAGAAGGGCAGAGTGAGCACGAACTGCAGGTCCGTCACTGCTAAATTGAACACGAAGAAGTTCACGGTGGACTTCATCCTCTCTTGTTTGACCCTGATGAAGAAGAGGACCAGCAGGTTGCCCACCAGACCTGCAGCGCAGACCACAGAGTAAACCAGGCAGATGAGGAACCTCAGGATCAGGCTCCCGTCGGCTGTCACGTCGATATCATCCATGTTGCTGAAGCAGTCCACCTCCACCAGTGACCTGTTCAGACACATGCTCTCATTTTCTTCAGTCATAATGTCTTCAGTTTAAGAAGAAATTCAGTTAGAGGTCTATCATTAAGATAGGTACAATAATTTCTGTTCACAGAGAGCTGGTGTACATGGTGCCATCCCTCTGTCTATCCACCCCACCCTCCTGTCCTGCACTGTCCCCTCCTCTCATCTCCAAGACTCATCCTCTACTCAGACAGCATGACAGTAATGGCTGGGTTGAGGTGTTAATTGGAGAGCATTATGGTTGATGCCTCTATCAGTCTTGTGCGTAATGCAGGCTTCTCCATCACTTTCAATCCCAAATAAAACATCACGTTAATAATTTAAGATGTTATATATAGCACGTGTCACAGTAGGGAAGGCACCGTGGTGTTGATAGAGCATGAATAATTGGTTTTGTACCATCACAGAAAGGGAAAAGTCGATCAAGAACAATGACTCTGTGCTGACACCTGGTGCTCACTTCTAAGTATAACAGGCAGTTAAAATGTTATGACAGCATAATGTGCAAAAAAGGCCTTCGTGATATGAAAAAAATCAAAAATTGCAATATTTTTAACTAAATACCTTAACATCGATATTGTAAAGACCTTGCACAATTGACCATTGATGCTCTCCTAAAATATTTACAAAATTAAATATTTGATAAATAACAATCAGTTATGTGATTTTGTCAGTAAAGGCAAACTAAAACAGCTAGAAAATGTTTCTTTCAAATTCAGAAAATAACATCAGTTATTTAATATAGCCTTGAAACCCATTAAAAAAAACAACACTTCTGAAATTAGGACATCCAAAATATAGGACGATATCTAGGATAATATTACAATATTGATATATTTCCCAGCCTTAAACCCCATCGTTTAAAAATAAGGGAACACAAACACAGAGAAATACCAGAATGCATTTTATTACATCTAAACTTCTCTACATAAACAGGTAACATTCAATAAGTAAACAATTTCTTCCAATGCAGGTAATAAATATTTTTTTCACTTGGTATATTTGTACAAACTGACAAGGGTCCACTGTACACCGCCTTCTCCTTGCTCTCGTCGAAAAGCCTTTTTAGGATTTTTCTCGGATTAGAGCCGTGAAACAGAACCTGTGAATGTTTTAAGGCAGTGAGTGCAGGTGTCGACTTGAGTCTGACTTTGAGATTACTTCTGTTGTTTAAGACTCTTTATTGGCCACAGTCCTTTTTTTTAATAATATGACAGCTTTCATTTTCTAAAAAATATATAAATTAATTTATTCTCTCGCTCTGAATCGACACAAAAAGCATACAAACGGACATCAAACACCCACGTTTGGATCTGAACTCTCAGGTTTCCACACAGACAGAATATACACATTGTTGACTTTTCCCTTTTAATTTAGCAGAGGCATCTCTTCACTGTAGCCTGTGGAGATTAACTATAATAGTGGCCTTATTCCATTCACTTTATTCTGAGCAGACGCTGGTTTATTCCCAGTGCGCTCACACCAGCCAACACATAAGCTCCTGCAACCAATGCTCTATATATACGGCTCCAGGTGTAGAGGGGTTGATATGGCAGCTCATCCATCCCTGCCTGCAATCTGACACTTTCTAACAAAATAACTCCCCGAGCTCCAAAAGGACAGCTTCTCCCAAACAGACGTGCACCACAGGATGGAGTTGTGGACACTTTACATTATGAAGCCTCCCTGTATCCCCATACAGATGTAGATCACTTCAACAAAAACACATTCAACACGGTGTGCTCTCTCTCTCTTCATGTGCGGCACTGTCTCCTGACAAGCGTAGGGAAAGAAGAAGTTTAAATAAATACAATTGTGATAGAGAAAACTGTGACCATCTTAACAAATACTGGTGATTTATATTCAAAGTAACAAGAAGGAAACTAAAGGATCAACATCTTCATCAGTGTACTAAGTCAGGGTAACACTTTATAATAAAGGAAAACACATATTTAAATAAATGCAAAAAATATTACGCAAGTACTGGTTTGATGCATGAATTTATGCAGAATGTGACGCAAATTCATGTTGTTGCCATGAAGTGAGTTTACGTTAGCAGATAACACTAAAAGGATCAATGTTTTTTCACACATTGACATGCTACCAAATGATCTGGAATCCAGTTACATACAGTGGCATGGCTGATACAACATTTCCAAAATGTTTACTTTAGCATTAGCTAAGAAAACCCATCTGTGAACATGCATGTTCAAAGATGGGTTTGAAATGGTTTAATTAATGTGATAATAAGATTTTTGATTATCTAAACAAATTAAGACAACAGAAAAATGTTAATTCTCAAAATGTGGATAAATGCCATCAACGGCAAATGTCTGATTGAAGAAAAAAGATGGCTTGATATTGCCATAAAATGGAATACTGCCATATTTATGTAACTGAACTCCTGCTAACTTGGCTGTACATAAATGTACGTATGAAGTCACTGAGCTAATCATTCATTGATAATCCATTTAGCATTACCTAATCACATTAACTCTCAGCGACTTGGTGAGCAACCAGAATTCATAACACATCCTGAATTAATTAAAACATTAAATCACCATGAGTCATGCACGTATTAATTAAGCATGTGCTTTGTGTCCTGATTATAAAGCGTCACACAGGAAGGAGCCTTTACATGACGAATGACTCATTAGTTCCATTGTGAGAGATTGCGCTGCTGACAAAGAATATTAATAAAATGCATATTAAATAAAATCATATCACAACAGCTCCCGAGTGAAAGTGATTGACGCTCACCAACGGAAATCAAACAATTTGTAAAAAATATAATATATAGAAATAAGAATAAATAAAATACTGAACAACACTGGAAATACACAAGGACTGGTTCTGGGTCGGTGTGAGAGCCGGGGGTTTGTTCCCATTAGAAGAACTGGGAATAAAGTTAAAGATGCAAAGAGAGAGGGGGGGGGAGTCACTTTGGGTCAACATCTCAGTGAGAAGCTGAAGGACGGGACAGGGGATGGGGGGCCGCTGTCAGAAGGGATTATCCCCTGGTGATAATTTGTTTCCGAAGTGAGCTGCCTGTCTCGGACGTCTGCAAGTGGAACATCGAGGAGAGGCTGATGAGAGGGGAACGTTACAGGATGCACAGGAGGAGGAGTGGGCTGACTGGGCGGGGCGCCAGGTGTACTGTGTGTGTCACTGCTAATGTCACCTTGATAACATCTGCTAAAAGCCGAAATGGAAGCAAACACCTAAAGTGTGTCTACTCTCCTCTTAATTACACAATACATTCATGAGCAAACTGTGTCCCCAGCTGAATGGAGGTAATCCACCTCACTCGCACACTTCCACATCGTACACAAAGTGCTCGTACGGTTTAGGTCATGTATTTTTAAACCAGCTGGCTTTGTGCCCAGTGTATAAGTTGGCATGTTGACATCTCCCTCTTTCACTGTGGCACTCTTCCATGCTTTTCCAAGAGCAGTTTCCCAAAGATAACTCCCTGTATGACGCCTAGGCTGTCAAAGATATCACGAATCTCCACAAAAAGCTTCGACAGAGATGGGACAGAGGTTGTGGGCGAGCATTAAAGACATTCTTTTGAGTTTGGAAACCCAAAACATCCCCACCACGCTGTGAAGCATGCACACAAACAGGCACTAGTTTAAACTTGGTCACATGCCATGGACGCCGTCTCTCCAGAAGGACTGTGCTACTACAACAGCTCGGCCTTCATTGTAATACCTTTTTTAACAGTCAAGCAAAAGAACGATGGAACTAAGAAGACAAGACATACATGAACAGAGATGTCTAAATAACCATCAGCTGAAACCGAAGAAGTGGACACTTGGACGGAGAACACTGTGGCACACAGATTCAACTGCACTCTGAATATTATGATCATTTTCATCAGGTACTTTATCTTGTTTTTGGCATTGTGCAAAAAGAAAAGAAAAAGAAAAGAAACTCTTCCAGCTCAAAACTCTAAATCTGCAAGTATAAATAGTTTAAAAGTCTCCATTTCTAAATGCTGTTTGCCGGCAGAGTCTTTGTGAGGATTTGGAAATCAAGGAGTGATTTCTACTACTACTCACTTCCTACAGCATTAACCTGAAGGTCAAAAGGAATGCATATATATATATATACTATATATTTATAACGGTTTAAATATCATACATAACTTAAAATATAATAAAAGTATTAGCACATGAATAAAAACTGTAACTTCAGTGTTCTTGTTATTGGACAGAGAAAGAATAAAGCATCATTTTAAAATGGAGCTCGATCAGTTAAGAATGAGAGAACTTAAGTTCATATTGTAGAAATGCAAATAAAGCTAAATGTAAGCAGGACAAAAAGAGAAGCAAAAGACGACCACATGGCAACAGGCGTTATGTCAAAGCTTTGTGAGAAAAAAGGGAAATGCAACCTCAGTCCTCTAATTAAAAACAGCAATTGAAGCAGCTCACTTGACTGAACATTTTCCGATATAACATACAAAAGTAAAAGAGGAAAATATATTTGTTCTCTGTACACGGTGCTAACTCCTCGTTTTTGTAGAAAAGAGCATTTGTCCTTCGTGTGATTTGCTCAAGTAGAGTCTTTGCTGTTTGTGCCGCGTTGGTACCATAAACATGCTGGACAGGTTCCTGATCTGAAGTCAGTACACAAACAGAAGTCCACCTAGTGGACTAGTGAAGAGAACCCTCTGTTAATATTATATAATATATAATATTAGTGCTCTCGTTGAGGCACTCTCCTCATTAGGACTCCACAAAGTGTGATGACTTGGCGCCAGTCAACTTTCTGGATCAAAACTTCACCCTGTAGTCAAAAAACGTGTGTTACTGGATCTCAGCTGGACCCAAAGTGTAGTTCTGACTGCTCTCCAGTCAGTCCAACGATATAACGTCAGGTATCCCGCCGTAAATCGCTGCCACTGCCGCCTCAGCGCTGCTCCGGGTGGCCACCACCACGGGGTGTGTGTGTGAGGAGTGTGAAGAGTGTGAAGACGAGTGTGTGGAGTGTGTGTCGCGGAGGCTGCTGGACGACACCAGACTGCTGCTGCTGCCCGAGTTGCTCGCCCCGTTGGTGGGCACGGTCAGCGAGGGGGCTGAGGAGCCTCCTGATTGGTCGAGGAACAGCTGTGAGGAGGAGGAGGAGGTGCTGTAGGGCAGGAAGCGGTTGAGAAGCAGCTCGTGGTCGTCTGAGGCTGAAGCTGCGGCCGCGGCAGCCATCACCATGTTGTAATGCTGAACCAATGAGAAACAGAAGAGAGGAGCAAGGGTGAGTTCAGAGGCTGATGAGGTTACCATGGAGAGTGTTTTCAAAACAGAAGACCCTACTCGCTGGGTTTTGAGTCTGAGAGCAGGTCACAAAGCATTTTGCAATAAATATTGCACCAGCGAGTTAAAATAAAAACAATATTAAAGGTGGGGTAGGTAATTTTGAGAAACCGGCTCGAGATCGCTAGAATTTGAAAATACACAACCGGAACAAATCTGCCACTTCCTTACAGAGCCCCTCCTCCAACACACACGAACGCGCACATGACCAATGAGGGCACGAGATAAGTTTGTGCACAGATGGAAGCAGGTAGGCCATCCAGTTACTTTAGCCGGGCCGGCTAAAATGATTGGTCGTGCTTTTTACAGTACCACGGCTTCCACAGATGACGTTTTTTTATGGATTTTTTGTTAAAGCACTTAAGATATTCATTGCTATCGGGATGTTAAGAGCATTCCATGGAATATAACAAAAAGTGTATCTCGAGCCGGTTTCTCAAACTTACCTACCCCACCTTTAAAGAACTGTTGAGAGCATATTATCATGGTGTCCCAAGTGAGGGATAATGTGCAGCGAGGCACATTAAGCAATAATAAAATACCCAGGAGAAAAATGAACACTAGTGTATCATATTTTGTGTTAGACTCTTGTTAATATATAATGCACACATTTTTTTTCCTTAAACCTGCTTTGGTTCGTCACTAATTCAAAAGTAATTACCTTTGTTTTTAAATCATTATATGAGTATTTAAGTTGTATGTTGAAATGTACTAAATTAAATTAAACTTAAAGGTGGGGTAGGTAAGTTTGAGAAACCGGCTCGAGATACCGTTTTTGTTATATTCCATGGAATGCTCTTAACATCCCGATAGCAATGAATATCTTAAGATCTTAATCTTAAAAATGTCATCTGTGGAAGCCGTAGTACTGTAAAAAGCACGACCAATCGCCGGCCCGGCTAAAGTAACTGGATGGCCTACCTGCCTGTCAGCCTTCCATCTGTGCACAAACTTATCTCGTGCCCTCATTGGTCATGTGCGCGTTCGTGTGTGTTGGAGGAGGGGCTCTGTAAGGAAGTGGCAGATTTGTTCTGGCTGTGTATTTTTAAAGTCTAGCGCACTCGAGCTGGTTTCTCCAAAATTACCTACCCTACATTTAACCAATACATCTGATTTCATGGCTGTTGAATTACGAGGAGATATTAATTCTGTATGTAGAATAACCAAACTACAAGTTAAATCAGCTGGAAAAACAAAAGTACCCTGCTGGCATGAGGAAGGTCTTTAACAAGTCAGTATTGTTACTTTGCTTTAATGGTTACGTTTTTTGGCTAAAGCAGATTGTTAATGGTAATCCATGTTTAGCCCCTGTGTATTGATTTTATTTCGCATTAACTGACTTAATGTCATCTTTCTACCAATCACTGTTGAGATATGACTAAATTCACAAATGATAATTGAGGTCATCCATTTCCATATCTCAGGACTATCAGCAGCTTTGTGAACGGGTATTAAAGGAACACTTTGAACAAGGTTGCTTTTTTGTGCAATTTAGTATTGCAGGTAAGATCCTTTGTGAAAATGTTCCCCGTTTGAGGCGAGACCAAAGACCAGACATTAGGAAGTTCAGACAGCACGGCTATTCATTACTGAATGTGTCCCATGAAGAATCAAAGCATCAAAGATGAGAATATACTATGAGTTTATTTACTAATCTTTGGTGGTTACGAGGGGTGCAGGTAGTTCGGGTTTTGTTTAGTCCGTGTTTCAAGATATTAAAGAGTAGCGTCTTTCCAGAGGCAATTTATCTTTTGTCGACAGAAATGCTGCTTAAAGTCTCCGGGAGAATCATGATCCAATAAAAACTGTTCACAGCGAGGGGAAATCGCCAGGGCAACGGGGGTTGCTGATTCTGGAAAGGTAATTGCTGTTACATTTTTAAAATGTAATTTTCTCAAACTCTCTGAAATTCTATTAAAGCTTACTGTATCTGAAATCTCAAAAGCAAAAGGATCTAAACATCTAGATACAGTGTCCCATTAAAAGAAAATAGCTTTTTTGTTGGTAATGTGGGATAACCAACCCTTTATAAAGAACATTGTAGATAATAGAACTCAAACGGAGAAGATTGACAGATGAGGATGTTAGAAATCAAGCAACAACTGTATTTATGTTCGAGCGCCTCGGAGAATTCAGCCCCCCAGTAACCGGTGGGTAACGACCATCATTTGTCAAACGTCTCACTCTCATGTCTCCTTTAAATAGCCCGTAGAGACAGAAGCAGACAGTGACACAGTTAGAGCGTGTAGCAGCAGACTGTCTCACATCTTATGGCCACAATACGTTAAAAATCTCTATTCTTTATTTCATTCTGAAGCGTTCAACTCTGCATGAAAGATCTTTGCTCACTGCAGAGAGGAGGTTTTTCATCAGATAACACTTTGACGATTCTGATTTGTTTTTCATGTAGATAGGATTACTTAAAATATAGTACCTTATATTTCATCTTTTTTCCCTTTAGACCCTTGCGGTTTATTCTTAAAAACCCTTACACGCCCCCCATTTTCCCTCTGCTGGTCTATGGCCTTGTAGAGGGTAACGGGGTACAGAGTCGCTTAGATAAGCGGGGGAGTGCATCTGACGAAGAGATAGGTTGTTGTGCTCCCTATCTCTGTTTCTTATCCTATATCTAATAGAACTGCTCGGGTCTTGATAGATTGAGTGGGGAAGTTCATGAGATCTTTCTAGAGGGTTATCAAGAATAACTTTTATCCAATGACCTTTTCCCTCTCTGTCTGTGTCTGTGTATTCTCTTGTTCCGATTAACCCAGCCAAATCTTTCTTCTTGTTTTGTGTCTATATCTACGCCGGGATCCGGAGTCGAGGCTGATCCTCTTGCTGTAGTCCTGTGTCTTGGATCCTCTATCCTGAGTTCTGGATTAAGTCATGGACTTCGGGTCGTGGCTGAACCTGTCTCTGCGGTCCTGCCTTGGGTCTCGCCATGCTGCTTCCCTGATGGCTTCCTCAGGATTGTAGCTGACATCCTCGTGGATTCATCTTCTTATTACAGACACATGCATTTCCTAACATTCGGTCTATATGCTGTAAAATGTATTATCTCTTCGATTTACACACGGCATCTATTGCACGTCTGTCCGTCCTGGGAGAGGGATCCCTCCTCTGTTGCTCTCCCTGAAGTTTCTCCCATGTTCCCTTTAAACTGTGGGGTTTTCTCTGGAAGTTTTTCCTTGTACGATGTGAGGGTCTAAGGACAGAGGGTGTCGTTTTTCTCATACTGATATTCTGAACAATCTGTGCTGTTGTATTTGCTGTAAAGTGTCTCTACTGTAGGCTATTTTTATTATATGTACAGCACTTTGGCTCGACCAAAAATCATTTATAAATGTGCTATATAAATAAAACTTGATTTGATTCATGTAAGCACAGTCAGTGTGAAACACACCGGCTTCTGCTTCACTGAAAAGGGGTAAACATTACATTACATGTTACATGCTTTTATCCAAAGCGACTTACACACTCAATACTGTGGGCAATCCCCCATGCTGACTGCAGTGGGGTTTGAACCTGAGACCACCTGATCCGAACACCAACGCACAACCCACTGCACCACACGCCTCCCCAAACTCAGTGATGTTTTACATACCTGATGATTGTCACCTTGAAGAAACGAGAAGAAGCTCAACTCTGGAAATCGAGCACAGGCAGAATAATGGTGAACATCAACAACAACCGATATCAAAGGTGCAAATGCATAATGTTTATTTAAAGTTACTAAAAGCTGGAGTTATATTATATAGCTAAATGTGTCTAATGGTATTCTCAACAATATGCATTTAATAAAACCAAGTATTACTGTAGATCGGTTATTTAATAAAAAAATGCAGTACATTTGACCCCTTAAACGTTTACCTGACAGGTCGTTGGGGGTGTGGTAGTACGGTCTGTAGTCCTGAATGAGGGGGGGGACAGGAGGGATGTAGCTGGTGTCCACGGCAGGCATGCTGGGAGTGCAGCTGACAGGAGAGGCCTGGTGGTGCAGGTTCAACACCCTGCAGCAGATACAGAGGAAGAGGTTTAGAGAAGAAGCAAATTAATCTATAATAAGGCTTTGCTTTCATTTCATATGTATTTGATAGGACAGAGGGTGTCTCGTCTCCTCCTTTGAACCTGGAAGCACAATCCTCTGAACAGTCACATGATTCATAAAAGTCAAATGAAGCAGCAGAAGTTTCCAGATGTTCATTATGTATTTTAATTCGTAAAGATAAAGCAGCTGTTTCAAAAGGTGTTTCGTAACTAATTCCTCAGAGTTGTTGAACATTGTTTCAACTACGGCTACATAGACTGCAAGTTGACTCAAAGCTTGTTTTTGCACATATGTGACTCAGATCTGTTTATTACTGAACAGCACAAATGATATGTAATCTGATCTTTTCAATTCTGCTTTGTCACTTAATATGTTATACTTGTTTCTGATAAATCATATTTAATGCATTATTTTCATATAAAGGACATTTTTGAAACTGTAATACCCAAAGAGTCTCATGAGAGGCGTGAATCAGAACAAGAGCCAACTCAAACGCTTCCTTTTTGCAGTTTGTAAGAAAATGAAAAAAGAGCGTTGACCCCATATTAAAAGTGAACTAATGTAAGCTGCAGATTACAAGTCAAATATTGAGCTTCCACTGGCTGTGAATCGTTTGGAGATGTAGTTCACGTTTCCAGATTTGTATATACATAAGCTTCCACCTTCTACATACATTGAAACTGTGCATCTCATAACATGGTCAAAATGAATAGTAACAGGGGCGCCCAAAAAAGCTCTTCCCCCTACCTCTGTTTGTCAGCTGGAAGAGGTTTCCAATCCTTCTGATCCTGAGAGGTTTGTGAAGCATTTCATGCTGTCTTGACATTTATATACATATTGAATTACGATTGGCTGAACTTTAATCCTATGATCCCGATTCTTATGTGCCATAAAACGATTGTGTGTTTTTTTGAAAGTCAACCATTTCTAGATGTAAAATCAAACTTCACTTTCTGAAAAACTCCTCAGTCAGCACTCTCTGCTTTCCTCTGTGGGCGCTGTTCATTTGTTAAAAGCAACTTGTGTGTTCAAGTGCAAAACTCGTGAATTTGTAAACATCTAAATTCATAAATACCCATCTGAGCAGCTAAAATATGCCTCATTTACCCATTTAACTAAATGTGCAGGTTTTTTTTTTTTAGCCTTTATTTATACGGGTGAAAATCTCATTGAGACACAGGGTCTCATTCTCAAGAGAGACCTGTTCAGTGGTAACACTACCACGCAAAGTTACAGACAGACAGGACACTAAACACAGAGGCAACAATCAAATAAAACATCGTAAAAAGTAATTAAAAATTCTCATTCACATGGTGTGTGTGTGTGTGTGTGTCTGACCCTTTGTTGTGTGGCGGAGAGGGCGGGGACATGGAGGGACACGGTCTTTTGGGCGGAGGAGGCAGTGGCAGCGGTGGCGAAGGCGGTGAATCCTGGCTCTCGTCTTCTGAGGAGCTGTCCAGTGTCAAGTCGATCACCTCCACCTTCTGTCTATTGCTGCTGTCACCGTGGCTGTTGGACGAGCCCCGATGGTCCGAGCCTGCAGACGTCCGACATGAACCTGGAGAGCAGCCGCCACATTGTTATAGTCACTGTGCTCATGTTTATCATTTCCTGAGGCTGCAGAGTGAAAAACAAACCACCGCTGAATACTGTAACTGTGCTAAAATGCAGACATACAATTTTCCCCTGCTCTCAAATGAAAAACAGTGTTTGTTACTATGGAGACAGGCAGTTTATTCAGTGGCATCATGATTGATGCCCCGCCAAATTAAAACTGACAATGCATACACAAAGAGGGAATAGAAATGCACGTTCCAGTTGCCATGTGTGTGTAATCCTAACTTAATTACTTTCAGGCTTTTCTCCCTGCCTTCATGTAGAAGCAGCCTTTCTGGTTTTTAACCCCGCCCTGTCCCCCTCTTCATCCCTCATGATATGCCTCACCATCCAGCCCGTTGCTATAGGAAGCAGAGGAGACCTCCTGCACTTCCCTCTTAGACCTCATGGGGGCCCAGCTGCCATCCTCCTTGAACTGGATCTCATCACAGTCCATGCAGCTGTTGAGGATCTCCACGAAAAGCCTGAAAACAAACATACACGTCATACAAAAACTATTTGAAAAAAGTATACACAAACAGAAATTGGTTTAATTCAAACAAAGGCTGAGCAAAGAATGTTCACTTCTACAGAAAAGGAATGTACGCTGTGTGGCGGCTTTCTTTTTGTCGCTGCTTTTAATTGAACTATTCATATCTTAGACTGCACTGTAACTTTTATCCATGTATTTTTTCTTTTAATGTTTCTTTTATTAGCTTTTCTTTTTAATGATGCCATTTTCTTAATGTCTTTCATTTTTTGTAAAGCACTTTGAATTGCCTTGTGTTGAAAAGTGCTATATAAATAAACTTGCCTTGCCTTGCCTTGCCTTGCCTTGCGCTAAAACATTAGCACTGTTCTTTTAGTGAGATAATAAACACCTTTCTTTTTTATACCACATACTATCCCTCTTCCTTCAGGATTTAAAGATAGCCGAGTGAGTGTTTGTAACATAAACATATGCATCGAGGATGGAAAAAAAGAGTGGTTTGAAAATAATTGCGAAGACATGTTTTCAGTGACCCAGTTTCTCCAGTGAATTCAAGCCGACCATAGCAAATCCACAAGAAGGCATCACACAAACTTAGAGTCATCCTAAAGCAAATACCAAGTCCATTCCATAATGTTTAATCCTTCAAATGGCTTCAAAAGATGAGATTTAGATAAGTTGTGTTTCTGTGAAGCTCTAGGTTTTTACATAAATCACAATGTATCAGTGTAGAAATTGGCTAATGAGTAATGTAGTAACAAAAGTGTTAAGATCAGGTTAACAGCTAATAGAGGTTTACAGCTAATGCAACACAAATGAATGAGTGTATAAAACCCAAACATGCAGCTGAAATGCGGCAGAAAAAAAGCTTGTGGTCGGACATGGGGCCCTGTTGTGTTTTAAGGTTAATGGTTCTGAACATCTATTTTCTGACGGGTGGTTGAAGGATGGGGGGATGCCGGGTTGAGAAACGTACCCGTCGATGATGAGGTGTTCGTAGGGAGCCTTCTTGTCGCAGACAGGACACACCCAGGTGGGCTTCTTCTCGTTCATCTGGATGTACAGTGTGGCGTCAAAGCACTGCAGGTGGGAGCATGTCAGCGCCCGGCATGGGATCATCAGCCGCATCTTCCCCAGCTGCAAAGTACACACACACACACACACACACACACACACACACACACACACACACACACACACACACACACACACACACACACACACACACACACACACACACACACACACACACACACACACACACACACACACACACACACACACACACACACACACACACACACACACACACACACACACACACACACACACACACACACACACACACACACACACACACACACACACACACACACACACACACACACACACACACACACGTTTAGTCAGAGCATGAAGAGGACACACACAGCAGGGATGGAGAGCATGCATACATGTCACAAATATCCCAAACCCACATGGAGAAGGTGCATGATGGGGGAAGAGAAGACATTTGAAAGGTGGATGAGGTACACAACACATATTTGAGGGCATATAGGCAGGTTGAGACACATGCAAAGGAAAATAATGGACGGACGTGTCTTGGCATGACTAAATCTCTAAACACTGCTGTGAAGTCATGAGGAGCAGGGAGCATGTTTACCGGGCAGAGCAGCGACACTCGGAGGCTGGTCGTGGCTATTTCACTGTCTGGGTCTGCTGTGAGCTTCTCTTTGACTGCAGGAAGAAGGGAAACACACGCACACACACACACACATTCATTCATAAGTGAGCAAGGACCAGACAACAGGTTTGTACTTCTTGAATAGGTGATTTAAACCGAGGTAATGAATAATGTTGGAGAGAAAGAGCTCATCATGCTGTGTGGTGCTGACGTAGGCTTCTCTGCACCTGAAGCTTCTTATATCGCTCACACACAGAATGAGAGGGTAGATTTCTTGAGTTCATGACGTAGCGCTTCATGTACGCATTTTGCGCAGTCCGGAGCTGACAGCTCCATGGAGCCTGCCTGCAGGCGCTAATCTCAGGACACCCTCCACTCTCAGTACAGCGCCACTTTCCGAACAGGAAATGCACGCAAATACAAGCCTTTATATTATTAAGGTACAGCGCCACTTTCCGAACCATTGATGAATGCTTGTGTACACAAAAACGGCAGGCAAAACCGTTTTAAATATGTGTTTCCTGTGTGGCGAATATAGCTGCTTTATTTATGTCTGTATGAAGTTGTTGTGAGTGTGGAGGGAGCAGCTACAGGTTAGCTTAGCCTAATCGATCAGTGCACTACGAAGCCAGTGCTAGACAGTGACCTCGGGGGGGAGCCCCGCCGGTCATTATCGGCCGATATTCACTCTTAATAGTTTGATCGGTGCTCTCTATAAAGGCCGATCAGGAGAGCTGGATCTGATCGATATGGACATAAACGCGAGTGAAGTATAACCGGACGCAAGAGAGAGATCAGATCAGCTGCTGAGTCTGATGGAGACACGCAGCTCTGCATGATCACCTGAAGCTCCGCCCTCTGTTTAGCGAGCTGACCGGACTGCTCAAAATGCGTATATAAAGTGTCATGAACGCAAGAAATCATACCCTGGTGGGGGCGCGCTCATGTGATTGGCTTAGAATGAAGGAGACATCTGATTGGCTATAGATAGAAAAAATTACAAGTACGAATCGGCTGACCGTCAGGGGAGTCTCAAAAAACCCACACACGAATGCAAAGCGATCCGTGCACAGAAAGCTGTTTGTGTTTGCAGGTTCAGGGGATTTAAACGGAAAACAAATATGTGTGGATCAAAAATACATATGTAATTGTATTGTATTTACATGTATATGAAACGGAACACATTTGTGTGTGCATTGAAAAACACAAGTGTGAATCCTTCTGTGTGCATGTGTGCATTATGAGACTGTTCTGAGCCCATAGACTTTCTACAACGAAAGGCAAGTTATATTTAAACCAAATCTTTCTACTATTCCAATCTGTGGCGTTAATGGAATAGGCAAGTTATAACACTTCTTTTTTTTTACCAATTATTATTTGATTACAAAGAGAACAAACAAACAAACACACCAAGGAGTTTGAATGATGAATCCAATCTCAAATGTGTATTTGTCATGTCTGGCCAGTGCCTGATCAGCGTATATATAAGGTAAATATTGATCAGTGCATCTCTCTAAAAAAAGAAAAAGACCATCCTTACTGAGAGCTCTGGAGTGGTCGGGGTTCCTGATGCCTTTGGCTCGTAGTCTCTGTAGCAACACTGTGGACGACTGCTGCTTCACCAAGTAAACTGCCATGGAGTAACTCTGAGGACACACATTAATGCAGGAAACAATGTCAGCATGGGCAGAATACAACTTGAAATCCCACCCAGAGACGCTTTTTTGTTTTTCATTTTTTGGTCAAAGCTCTAGGCCAGCACAGAGAATGACTTCTAATGGTGTTACTGGAGGTGATTCAGCAGGCGGGATGTTTTTGTAACGTTAAGTCGATCCTCCTGCTCTGAGACAAATGTATGTTCAGCCATGTGTACGGGAGCACCGAGGAGAGGAAGACATTGGAGGTCAGCATGTACTTTCATTTTGAGATGGTTCGTCTACTGCCATCTGTAGAACAACCTCAAGCTAAATATAAGCAGTGCTGGAATTGGGCCGGTACTCACCGGTACGCAGTACCGGCACTTCTGGTTCTGACCCATGGAGTACCGGCACTTCTTGCTCAGTACCGGCATGCTGGTGGTACTCCGGTACTCATGCACCGTGCCAGTACTCAACACTCTCCCGCCGTTCTTATTATACATCCATATATATATATACAGCCGCCCGGTACTCAGTAGATGCGTCATGAGGTGCCGAACGGACATTCTCATCGCTCTAACCGCTGGAGTTTCACAGCGGCTGTCAGCTGTTTACTCCTGTCATTCAAACAGAACATGCTGGAGAGGGGGCGGGGCTTATCTTCTCCATGTAAATACTGTGGTGGAAACGACTATGTCAAAATTAACCTATTTGACCGTGATTTAATAGTAATACACGTTTCAAAATAATAATAATAATAATAATGCCGAAGTAACAACATACTGAAAACTGTTAGTAAAACCATGTTTTAATGCTTTACAATTTACATACCTAGATGCACGTGTGTTGTGTTTATGCAGTGCAACTCCCACCCAGTGGGTGGCTATGTAGAGTGATAGAACAGAGCAGGCACGCCCCCGAGAGAAGGAAAGCAAGTCACGTCACAAATTAGCATTTCTAAAATGTTAGCGTGGATTAATAAAAGTGCAAAAAGACAGCGGTTGTCGCCGGAAGAAACTTCAAATACAGAGAATGCTGTGCCTGTGTTGGAAATTGTGTCTGATGGGGAGCTTTCTTTGGTTGATCCTCCTGCTCCAAGTTCTAGTGCATTAGCATTAGCACTAGCTCCGCCACCTCCTCCAGAGCCTCTAAGGTTAGCTGCTGCTGGCGCAACTGCCACCACCAACACCGGGCAAAGCGATGCACCTGACTGCTGGACAACGGACCAGGTGCAATATTTTTGCAAGACCAATGCATGGCTCCTTCTTAAAGATAAGAAGCTAGGATGTCGGATATGCAGAGATGTCAAATCTTTGGGAATACACACTGGACAAGGACTGAAACTGTCAACTGAATGGGGTGAGTGTGCAGTGTCTCATTTCGGTGTTGACAAGGGCAAACAACAAGCTAGCCTGAGAAAAAAAATCAAAGAACATAAAGAATCACAAGCCCATGTAAAAGCTGCTGACATCCTTACATCTGCTTCACGTGAAACTATTCAACATCAAGTGCAGTCTATGCATAAATCTGAATTAGACACCACTATCAGAGTTTTTCGAACGGCATATAAAATTGGCAAACATAGCCGGCCATTCACAGACATGCCAATTGATTTGAATGTACAGAAACTGAATGGGCTAAACGTGGGCAGGGTTTTGCACTCCAATAAAACCTGTGGCGAAATCATCGACCACATAGCTCATGAGCTGAAGAAAAAATGGCAAAAGACATTACAGAAAACCAAAGAAAACTCTGTGTTTTGGTCGATGAATCTACCACTATTAGTGGTAAAACGGTGCTTGTTGTGTGTCTACGCTCAGCATTAGCTGATGCTGAGCCCGAAACGTTTTTTTGGGAGCTGATCGAGTTGGATGGAACAACGGCTGATGACATCACAAAGGCGTTAATGGAGTGTCTTGGAAGAGATTTTAACGAGGACTTTTTAGGTCAGTGTTTCGTTTCTTTTGCATGTGATGGGGCTTCAGTCATGCTAGGGAAGAGAACAGGCGTTGCTACCCAGTTGTGTAGTAAATTCCCAAGCCTGTTTGTGTGGCACTGCTCCAATCATCGTCTAGAGCTGGCAGTTGGGGATGTGGTCAAGGAGGTCTCAGGGCTCAATCATTTCCAGATCTTTTTTGACAAACTCTATTCCTTGTTCCATGCCTCCCCCAAAAATCAGAGGCAGTTAGCGCAGTGTCGGGCAGTCGGACAGCGTCTCCTGGTGATAGGGCGTGTTTTGTCCATCCGCTGGGTGGCTTCAAGTGAAAGGAGCGTCAGAGCAGTCTGGGAAAACTACCGAGTGCTTCATGATCACTTCACAAATGCTGCAAACGACACGAGCAGGGATTCCAGAGACAGAGCAAAGTACAAGGGCCTGGATGATGTGCTCACATCTGCAACGTTTGTCAGCAATCTGGGACTGATGTACGATGCGCTCACAGAGCTCAGCGACCTCTCTCGGCAACTCCAAAAAAGAGAGATGACACTGCCTACAGCAGATAGGCTCTTAACTCGAGAAATACGAGTTTTTGAATCCATGGTCACCATGCCTGGCCCACACATGACTACAGTTCATACAGCTCTAGCTGAGAAGTCCTTCAAGGGTGTTGCCCTGCGTGAGAATGGCAGGCTTGTACAGATTCATGCAGGTCAGTTTTTCCGCAGTATGGTAGAGAATCTGAGACACAGAATGACTTCCACAACCTCCTCTCATGTCAGCACAAGAGAAATCCCATTACATGGCCGGGAGGCCCGGGACAATCAGCTAATCCAGGACATGAAAGTTATCCATCCTGGAAGTTGGCCTGAAGAGGAGTTAGACGTACAGTATGGGGACGTAGAGGTGCTACGTTTGTGCGATGTGCTGAAAGTGGACAGAAGAGAGACTGTTCAGGGCTTTCGCGAATACAAGGAAACCAGGGCATCCCGTACACCTGCTGCCATGGAGCCTCTACTGAAAGCAGTCCGAACCATCGCTGTCTCCACTAGTGAGTGTGAGCGGGCATTCAGCTGCATGAACGATATCCTTACTGCAAAAAGGAATGCTCTCTCTGTCAGCCGACTGTCCAGCCTGGTTTTCATTAAATGTAATGGACCATCACCAGGACAGTTCAATCCGGAACAGTATGTGAGGTCCTGGCTGGCAAAGGGAAGGAGAAGTGCTGATGAAAGAGCCTGTCCAGCTCCAGCCCCTGATACTGATGTCCCCAAGGCCTTCTGGAGCCTTTTCTAACAATGTGAAGTATATTGCAAAGCAGCTCACCCAGTGAGAAGACTTTTGGCATAATGTGCCGATTTGTACAGATCCTGGAGATAGAAGGACTTCAGACCAGTAGCGTGGCGTGGGGGAAAATGTAGGGGAAGCCCATTTTTTGGGTCGGGGGGCGGTCAATAACGTAACCAGATGAGTGATTACAGCGCCCGGTATCATTTTACACACATTTGTATCACACAGATGCAGGACTTGCACACGCCTGTTATCTAACCGACAGGTCCGCACGCACTCTCCAGCTGAAACTCTCTTCTTATTAATTTAAGCATTTTACTTATTAATGTATGCAAACAATCACACAATCTATGTGATTTTTGGATTTACCGTGCCTCTCAATTGCCCGTGACAGGTTGGCAAGGTCGATGAATCCTGAAGTTGCCCAAGTATTGTTCAGGGAGCACGAATCCTTGTCAAAAAGAAGACATGGCCAGCCAAATAGACGCTGAAGTTTAGCGCTTCCAGTTAGCCACTCTGTGCGGACATAATTGTCCTCACTGAACGTCCGATTATCTCCCTTTTTCCTCTGTGTACACACAGCTCGAGTACGGGCATTGGCCTGTCATCTGATTTAATTTTTAGTTGCTGCTGTAGCGGAAGTTTAGTAAAGTTATGTTTGATTAAGTACGCCAAATCTCCACCCTCCATAATGCTTCATTTGCTTGATAATTTCTAACGGCGGTGATGACAGTTACAGTATTAAAACTGATGTTGATGTGATTTGATTGGATGGCAGTGTCCAATCAAATCGCCAGCCGCCAGCCGCCCCTGAAGGGAAGCTAGAGGCGGCTGGCTTCCCTTGGCATGGCCCTGACCAATCACAGGTTGGCAGGGGCATCACGTGGGCCTCATCTGATTGGTCAATCCCTCCATTTTTTTTCACCAAAGGAAGCCAGATTCGGCTGGCCTCCTCTCGCAACAGTGAGTGCAATCTACTGTTTCACCATGACATCTAGAGGGGCGCTGTTTGTTTCACTCTTTGTAAAATACTCAATGAGAATGGGGGAGAGACGGGCCGGCAGCAACACACAGTAAAGGAGAATTATCGAAACAAAACAAAGTGTTTTTATTTATTTATTTAAATTATAACTACAATCCGAAAAAACAGAGGAAGCCTGGCTTCCCTTGGCCTCCGGGAGAAAACGCCACTGCTTCAGACCAACCAGGGAGTTATCTGATCAGCTTGGTGTTCAATGTAACTCTTTACCATGGCTCAGACTTTGTGACTTGCAGTTACAGTTTCTCATTTTAGATTGTGCAAATTTTGCATTTGTTTTTACATGTTTTTTGTTCATGCTCTTTATCATTTTTCTGAGTTGGAAAGTTAGATTGTATCATAGTTTACTTTATACATATTTGTATTCTTCAGTGGTGAAGTATATTGCAAAGCAGCTCAGCCATGTGAGAAGACTTTTGGCACTTTTTCGTTTTTCGTTTTCTGAGTTGGAAAGTTAGATTGCATTCAAAATGTACAGAAATACTTAATTTTGTTAAAGCTTTTTATAAAAAATGCTTCTGACCAGAGCTTTGTTTCCTTGTCATTAATGTTGAACACCACCAGAGGGGCTCTCACCTGAAAGGTCTCTGCTTCATGTGTCTTCAGCAGAAGATCTAGACTTTGATTGCTATATTTTCAGTTAATATTGACCTTACTGAGCTTTAGCCATATCCGCTGCCTATCATAAAAAATGTTAAGTACAGTGAACCTTTCTAAAATATACAGTAGTAAAGAGACAAACCCACCAGCATTATAGTAGCCAAATTCTTATTTGTGGGCTGTATATATACAATTGACTTGAAAAAGTTGCTGATTTTAGAGTACTGGCACCTTTTTCATTCCAATTCAAGCACTGAATATAAGTGAGCATATGAGATAATAAAGCTATTGTAAGATAAATGTACATTTATTGGGTCTAAAAGGCGGATCTTATCAATAACTGTGCCTTGACTGAGCTTGCCTTTTGACTCTATACGGTTATACGCACAGACTTTCTGAAGTTTTATGTTTCATTACTCTACACTATTTAATGAATCACGAGTTGGGCTTCAAACTGCATCGCACAAATTCAACCTAATATAACCATTTAATCCCATAAACACTGCAGGCAAGAAGTGTAATTATTAGGGCCGGGACTTTAACGCGTTAATTAAGATTAATTAATTACACACAAATTAACGCGTTGAAAAAATTAACGCATTTTAATCGCACTTATTTTTGCACCGCGGAACGTTTCTCACTGGATGAGTTTCAGGCGTACCGATTATACTGGAGCACCAACTAACGTTCATGACTTCAGACAACAACAAACCACAGTGAACAACAGTGGGAAATGTTGTTTTAAAAAACGGACGGATGGAAGCGTCGATAAGAGCACGGTTGTGTGCAAATTATGCAAAAAGGAATTCACATATCACCGCAGCACATCAAGCATCACCTCAATGCAAAACATATAGCAGCTAGCGTGGACGTTAGCCTCTTTTATCGCGTTCACACCAAAAAGAGCCGGTACTAAAATTAGTTCATGAGAACCTTTTTACCCCCACGAAAGTCCCTGCTAGAGAGCAGAGAGCTGCAAGAGAGCAGGGACTTTCGTACGGCTCTCTTGTGAGAAAAGAGCTATATTTCTGATTGGCTGGGTGGATTGCAAACCACGCCCCGTAAAACTCCCAAAAAGTTTTGTGAAGCCGCCATTTTATTATCCTCGCATTAGCATTATTAGCATTAGCCCAGCGCAGAAACGCAGAGAGACTAACTTATGGCAACACAAAATAAAACATGGGAGCGGTGGAGATGAGGAGGTGTCGGCGTTCTGGCGATTTACTCGGAAGGCTGCTGGGACTCCCAGCAGCTTCTACTGAAGCCAGTCCCCAACTCCGGGGACTTTGGGCGGCAGTATACGACGTGAAGTGGTTTGCTGCCTGCCAGTAAACCCAATGCAGAAGAAGAAGAAGTGACGTCAGCGGCTTCATTTGCCTAATCCACCCCCAAATTCAAAGAGTTCTCATGAACTAAATTCTCATGAACCTTTGTGGGAAAAGTACTGCGGTGTGAATGCGCCTAATGGTATACTAAAATCCATGTGAAAAAAATTGCTTCTCACTGTTCTCAGGTCAAATATTTATATGTGATTAAAAATGCGATTAATTTCGATTAATTAATTACAAAGCCTCTAATTAATTAGATTAATTTTTTTAATCGAGTCCCGGCCCTAGTAATTATAGAATATAAGTCTGCTTTAAGTGTACATTCATTTCCTACAAACTTCAAAAACAACATGTAATCATCCACTCTCAGTACATTGCCACTTTCCGAACAGGAAATGCACGCAAATACAATCTTTTATATTATTAAGGTACAGCGCCACTTTCCGAACCATTGATGAATGCTTGTGTACACAAAAACGGCAGGCAAAACCGTTTTAAATATGTGTTTCCTGTGTGGCGAATACAGCTGCTTTATTTCCCATATCAGGGTTAACAAGAATATGCATCAGCAACTTCCTTAAGATAAAGAGGTCATATTAATATATTGCGTTATATAAAAGGCGTGTAAAGCCTGGACGGTATAGATTCAAATCAAATCAATAGATGAAATTATAAATCAGTGATTGTCTCATTACCATAACTGGAAAGATCTGATTGAAGATGATAATCAGCGATGCAAACAATTGCTCAGTCTCAACATTAAGTATATAAAATGACGAAAAAGAACCATCATCAGTAACCGAAGTCTGAAGTGATGTCTCCAACCCCAACAACATAGTCAGCCAGCAAATCAATATATTTAAGTAGCCATTGGCAGCGAATGTTTAGTCATCCTACTTACATTGATATAGTTACATTTAAACTTGGTGTAAATACTTGTCTTTAGCATCCTTTTGAATCCTAAATTGTTTCATAAAAATACTTATTTTTTATTATCCATATTTCTTTTTTTTACCTACTTTGCAACTTTTTTTTTTAGATTGTCTATGTTCGCACCACCAGATACCAAAGCAAATTCCTTGTATGTGTAAACGTACCTGGCAATAAACTTGATTCTGATTGTTACCTACTAACTGTCATTGGTATGAAATTGTTCCTTGACTCTGGTTCTTACCCTTCCGATCTCAGCGGTCCACGACACCACGATGGTGTTGGGCACGGTGGTGGACAGTCTGACCAGAGAGGTAATGTTGATGGGCCGGCTCGGCCGCTTGGGCTCTACGCCGTTTTTGGTTGGAGGAAGATAACCCTACATGAATATCAGAGGGGAAAGGATGAATATTAGCATTTCTGTTGTGTTTATTAAAAAGTCAAATAGTAATGAGAATGGGTTCAACACTAGCATGCGAGAGTTACTGAGAGTACTCCTCACCGGAAGGTTACATGGCTTCCCGTTGACTTTCACACACAGATTGGGTGGAAAATGGTCTTCCTGAGGACAGCTCGTCTCCGACAGGCAAAACCGCAACTGAACTTGAACTGAGAAATCACATGTGGTCCCCGAGATGTCCCTTCGAGCACAGGAATACAAATATCACCACATATCTACAGAAATCATGCTCAAGTATGAATTATTCATGAACAGCATGCTGCACTGACGGAGCGGTGTTCATCTTACATCGAGCTGCTGATCTGCTGGACTTGTTGTGGCGTTAATGCAAAGGCGAAACACGTCTCCTGAAATCGCTGGCTGTTGTCTGACGCTGCAGAGACAGGAAGACAGGAAGGAGAGATATGTTTAATACCCGGGAAAATCACATACAAGTTTTGTACTTAATGAAATTGTCAGTGACCCAGAAAGAGGGAGTTGAAGAAGACAAAGCCTCAGCAAATGAGACCAAGCATTAAAGTTCAAGTAAAATACAGTTAGTCAAAGTTTTTAATCTACAGAAGTAAACATTAAAAGAAGACAAAAAAGGAAAAATGTGTGCACAGCTATGCATTACTGAGGTAGACAGGCATCCAATTAGTAAGAGCTTAAGAACACCTGGACGTCAAAACCACCTCGCACAGAGGTGAAATAGAAGGGTGTGTGTGTGTGCGTGTGTGACTGTCTGTGATTGGGTGTGTGTGTTCTATTTATAGGCCCACTGAGAGGTCCTGGAAATAACTGGTGTGCTAAAACAGCCTCCACTGAAGAGACAGCAAGTTTGCAAAGGCCAGAAAAGTTTGAGTGTACATGTTAGACCGAGGTTAGCATGTAACGAAGAGCTATACGGTTTGAGACCTGGTGGTGTTTTGCTATTTGTACTTAAAGGTAAAGGACAACCTTCTAGTAAATAAGCGTATTCACTTTCTCACTGAGTATTGGATGAAAACATTGCATCCGCTATTGTTTCTGCTCAGGATGAAGCTAAAGGTTTAAAGCAATTAGCTTAGCAATACGACTGGAATCAGGTAGCAACAGCTAGCTTGGCTCTGTCCAAAGGTAAACAAATATATTTAGTGTTTGATCTGGCACTATGTCAGTCATTTCCGTAGCTTCCTCTTTTAGGTGCACTTATTAAAGAGGATGTCCTGAACAGAGAACATTGAAAATACAGACAGAGGGCAGGGTCTCTGCAGATACTGACTTAGTAAAGATTTAGGTTTTTTGTATAAAACTATACATTATTTATTCACGTCACACAAAACATTTACAGGATACATTTTTCTACCGACAGGACATATGTTATGTTCTAAGTGTATATATATATATATATATATAAAAAAGTTAACTTGATTACTCTAATGATCTTTTTTTATTTAGTTTTTTAAATAAATATGTTAACAATCCAAAATTGAAGATGCAGGCAGGCTACAAATGAGCCAAACAGCCTATTGACATGTTATGGCAATTTGTGTTATATAGTGAATACACTTTAGACCTTCACTGAAAATGTTTAATGATTTTATTTTGTCATTATATTGAGATAATGAGTCAGTGGTGGGTTTGTTCACCCACGCAGCACTAAAGATATATTTTTAACATTACCATTGTTGCTTTATTCACGGTCAAATATTTCACTCTTTAGTTCTGTTTTGTCTTCTGTAATTGTTTATTTCTGCTCTTTTTTACTTATAATTATGTGCAATAATTTGTTTTACATCCTGCTGCAAGAAAACATTTCCCAATTTGGGATTCATTTATCCTATTTACCTAAAAAAACATCTATATTTTATTTTTCAGAGTAGTTAGCCATATTCTTATTTAATGAACTTGTGTGCATGAATGATCAACACACTCAGCAGGATAGAGAAGGTAGAGGTTATTATAGTTCATGTATGCCGTTGAGGGGGGAGATTACTGGACCAATCAGGTTCCTCCTCTCATCGGCCTTTCAAACAGCCATTTATCTACCCAGTAAGGACCTCACTCTCCCACCCACATGGTGTATCATTTGTATGGCATGTACTTATTGTATTCCTTTTCCTTCGTAGTGGCAGCCTGTGTTCTGCAGAACACAATCATAAGCACCAAGTGTGCTTTCGAACAACAGTCTTCCTCCTCTTCGGGCACACAGGCTATAAATAGAAAGTGCTCTCTCACTCTCGCTCACTCTGTCCTCTCTCTCTTTCTTTCACTCTCCCCCATCATTTCTCCATCGCTCTATATCTCACTCTCCCTCCCTCCCTCCCTCCCTCCCTTGGCAGTAGACTCTTTTTTTCTTGTGTTTGAATGTGTGCTGAGGAGAGATATGAGAAGGGTTGAAATGAGCTTGGATTGATGCCTTCCTCTTTCTCACACACACACAAACTGACTTTTACCCCAACACACACACTTCTTCAATATGTGAAATGCATACACTGTTTGTTTTTTAAGGATATCAGACCAGAATCATTTTTTGGTATTGAATGATCGATAGCAGTTAGGTACTGAAACCCAGCAGGAAATGCAAAGATTTATATTTATACATGATCAGGCATGGTCTAAGTTAAGTCATGATTTTGCCACATTTTGCAGTTTTTCAGTTTGTGTAGCTGCTTATGCTAGAAAACATTTAGTTTGTCAGTAGCTGGTTAGCTAAGCAGCGCATAAAGACTGAACAAGCTCCAGATCAGCTTCTATTAAGCTCAGTAATGAGTTATAATCCAAAAGTGCGAGGGCGGGGAGTTGTTGATTTGTCAGAGGATTTCCTAGGGAGTTGTTTCCCTGTTTACAGTGTTTATGCTAAACTAAGTGGCTGGTGGCTCCGGCGTTACTATGTATTACTGCTTTTTAAATGTCAGCGATGATACAACATTCATCATTATTAATACAAATATTTCTTGCTATACATTCTAAAAGAAGCTTTGGTGGATCTTTGAAAATACATGAACTGCATGAATGACTTTGGATCATTTAATACATATAATTAGAGGATGCTTAGTTTGATTTTATGACATGTAGTTGAAGCAGAAACTCATTAGTTGATTATATCTCATACAGAATGTAATTTCAATGAATGGAGTGTCTATTTAACGCCACAAAATGACTGATGCTATAAGCAGAAATGTCATTTCAGTTATGGAGCACATTTCTGCCACAGCTCTATCTAATCTTGTTTCTGCTTAGTGGTGCTTATTAGATCAAGAACATGAATAAATAAGTGGGACACACATTTTCACAGGTGTAATTAAAATGAACGAACAAGAGCTTGTATCAGTGCAGTGACTGTGCGTCATTCACTATCAACAGTTTGTTTTGACTAAACATCGCTCGCTCTCTGCTTTAGAGTCAGCCTGTAACGGTGGAGAGTGGGTATTACAGAGTTCTCTAGAAGAGAATGGACTTGAAAAGTAAAAAAGGACATGTGATCTGTGTGCCTGACGAAGGTAAATCAAACCGTTTTTAAATCATGGTTTAACTGTCAGGAATGATGTTAAATGTGCTATCTTGCACCTAAGAGAGCATAAGGTATAGAGACGGCAGACTCTGTCCTTCATGGTTTACTGTTTGAGACCCCCGCTGCACCAGCCCCTGTGCTGCATCTTACATAGAGTAACAATGTAAACTGACTATGTGTTGGAGAGACAGATGGTGGGGGAGAGACTGACAGATGGGAAAATGACCTGTTTACTGTGAAGAGGACACTAAACATGCAGTCAGTTGCTATGTTATTAAGTATGGTGTTCAAACTACTATTCTGAGACGTTTTTCATAATATGTCGACCTAAGTTTGAGAAGTAATCGTCAAGGTAAATAAAATAAAAACCTGGTTACAGCCATAGTTTGTATAGTTTGTGTTTCCACTGACTCTATAGATAAATAGTTCATACAACATAATATATAACACTTTCAGCACTTCAAACTACAGCTTTTAAAAGTGTTTTCAATTGAATTGACACCTCTGCAAGGCTGCTTTGACAAAGACTGAACATTACAACCTTCATGAAGAAAGGAGTTATTGAAGGTCTGCTGCTTTTAGTTTAACTGGCAACTAAGTGCACATTTCATAAAGGGAAATTAAGGTCCATTACACAACGTTAAACATTTTGTAAGACCAGCAGAGGAATGTACTATAAGTAAGTACATTTAGTAATATACATTCGAGGTGCCTGCACTTTACTTCATTGTGATTACCTCGAGTCTCCATACTTTACATCTTGGTGATAATACGTTTCTTCTTTCACTTTGGTGAGGTTTTGAATGCAGGACTTTGAAATGTAATGGACCATTTTTTACAGTTTTTTACTTTTACTCAAGTAAAGGATTCAACTACTTCTTCCACTACTTATTATTTTTGGAAGCATTATAAAGATAACATGATAAGATAAAACAAAACTACACAATGATAATTATTTTAAATACATGTATAACTAGTTAGCTACTATCTGGTTTCAACGCAATAGTAAAACAAAATGAAATGCTACTACACTTTTACACTGAGCTGTACAAGTCTCAACTCTCGTTGTGGCTACCAATGCTTACAAGTAGGGGTAGTATGAATATTCTTAAAAACGTTTCAGTAAAAAACCTCGAAAACCCCGGGTGCTGGGCTTAGTTCGGGTTTGCAGAGAAGATGTGTGAGCTCAGCTACAGAGAATGTGCTGGGCTCTATTGCCTGTCCTCAGCACAACAAAGCCCAGCTGGAGTTTATTAACTTGCTAGTGGCTTTGCTACTTTTTTCCTGTTTGGTACACCACAGGCACACACACTCACACACACAACATACAACAACATGCAGAACAAAGACACAAATCCTTTCAGCATCACTCAAATTCAAAAACTACAATGCCAGAGGGATCCGCAACAAAAGGTTAGATCTGAAAGTTACACCCACACTGACAATGGAAAACTTTCCAGAATCCTCCATTATCTGCATGAGGGTGTTGTACAGTTATTTATTGACAGGGCTCATTAGGACATTCCAGTGTGCTTACAGGACTGCTACAGCTGGCATTATGTGTTCTCACTCTGGCAGCTGAAACCTGCTTTCCCCATCAATGTATATCCTGTCTTTAGCGTTTGGCTCCATGAGATATATACGCCATGCCCAAGTCATTATATCACGAAGCCCCCTAACAGCAACACTCAGCGCTGCTCATGTTTGTGACCATTACTGTTTAGGACTGTCTAATCAGGTAACTCTTGCGGATGATGATGCGCTGACTTAGAAACAAATAATGCTGCTTTTATAAACTCTGAGAGATGGAAGCCATTTTGTGCAGAGTGTTTATAGTTAAGAGCAGCCAGGGCTCCTTTGCTGATTTTCATTTGATGTGACAAGGCCGAGTTCTTTAC